CGGGGAACCTCCCCCCCCGGACCCTGGCCACCGTTCCCCGAATCTTTCACGTCCTCCTCTTCCAGACCCTTCGAGGGCGTTTCAGGCACTGCCGGCTTCTCCACAGCCACCTCCTCCTGCCGTACCTCCGTTGGGATCCCCGCCTCGGCATCTGCTGGAAATTTTTCGGAACCCAAATATCACTCTTCCACGCGGTTTTGAGGACAAGGCCGTAAACGGCAAGAGGCTTTCCTCCCGCCCCCGCCCCTCGCCTCCCCCACTCTCCCCAGCCAGCAGCCAGCACAAATCTCGGCCCCCTTCTAGCTCAGTGTCTTCACACCGGGACTGCTACAGCTCGTCCCTGCAGACACCCCAAGGGCGGTTTGAGATGACAGACGTCACTTAGGCGGGATGGGGGGAGTCTAACAGAAACACCGGGGCTCATCCTTCGAAGTAAATCGACTGGGTGGGCTGGCTCACACCGTGCCATGCCTCGTCCTTTACGGCGTCAAGGCTGGCAGCAGGATTTACTGCCAGAACCCTTTCGTGGCCTCTCCGAATCGCTTAAAACCCTGTCCTGAAAGCCCCAGGCCCGGAGAGAGCCCCGTGCAAAACCTCCTGCTGCTCCCTGAGCACGCTGGCGCTCCTCGAGGCTGCCAGCCCGCCCAGGGAGGGTTGAAGGGCTCTGTCCCGGTACCTGCTGCGGGCGGAGGCGACGGAGACCAGTTCAGATCCACCGCTTCACAACAGCACGTGGAGAGAGGAGCGGAAGGGGACGGGGTTGGCTGGCTAAGATCCGCTGGGACAGCGGTGGCTTCATGAGGGACATGTGCTGCGAAGACAAGAGGAGCGGTGATGATGCTGGGTGAGACACAGCCGGGCAGGGGCCCAGGATCCCTCGCATCAGCTGGGTGTGCCAGCCACTCACGCGCCCTGCAGTTCACCGTGACCGCCAGGCTCCCGCTTTCCTCCGGGTCCCTACAGTTCCCCTCGCAAGGCTCCTTCGTCTTCATCTCCAGCAGACCATCATCGCTCGCGCAGCTCGGGTGGTCCGGCTCTGGGGAGGAGAAGGGCACTCGGCTTTACCGGCCGCCAGCCGGGAGCTCAGAGGCGCAAGCACAGCGTCCCCCGGCCGTCCCCCGCTCCCGGGCCCACAGGGCATCAGGACCTCTGCAGCACACAGCAGCTGCTGGGTCAGGGGAAGGTTTCCAGGCTATCGATGTGTCCCAGCACGTTCCCTTGTGTCCTCTCCCAGCACAGGCTGTCCACAGCCATCGCGGGAGACACCTCAGTCCCTGTGGCTGAGGGCAGGGACCGCAATCAGCCAGGAGCCAGGATGCTGGCACGGAAGAAACCCAGTGTCACGTACCTACGGCTAGCTCTGGCGATACGTCTGCTCCCTCCAGGTCCGACTCGGCCGGCGCGCACAGCTCTTCTCCTTTCTCGATCCGAGATAAGAGCTCAGGCTTGGATAGGGCACAGTCTGTTTCAAGAGCAAGACAGACATCAGGGGCAAGAGGTGACAGCGTCTTTGCGGGCGCACCCACAGCCTGTCAACACAGTCAGTCCCAGCCCAGAAAAACTTCATCTCCAACCGGGTCAGCGCCAGTGCCGGCACACGGGGAGTTACGGACACAGACCGGGGCCAGCAGGCAGCACTTCTAGGGCGGAATCTGAAAAGCAGCTCCCTCTGGCACGTCTGACAACCTCCCCTCCCGGCAACAACTGCAAGAAAACCCATCCCTGCTCCACGTGGGGGAAACCCCCGCTACAGAAACCCCCCCGAAATTCACCTTGCGGACAGGAAAACACCCTGAAGCACAGGAAGAGAATTGTAAGGCTCTTGATTGAATGTCAGCGCGGGTACACCTCCCCGCAGCTCCGTAGCCTGGCCTCACTACCTGTATCTGCTCCAAACCACCACGCATGGGTACTGCTGCTCCTCACCAGCCAGGAGCTCAGCCAGGCCGAGCGCGCAGTGCTGGGTGAGGATGGACGGGCCGACTCGCCCCGCTGCGACAAGAGGCAGTGCCACGAGCTCCCTGCCCTGCTTTGGGATTACGCTCGCCCCTCACCTCCTTCCTCAGCACTTTTGCTCTGGCTCCTCAGGCAGCGCTTGCAGGGGAGTCCCACGGCAAGAGGGGGCGGCCCTGGCTGGGAAGTCCAGGCCCCTGCTCCATCATCGGAGCACTGGAAAGATTTAATTACAAGCACGAGGCCCTGGCTGGGCTAAGCGGGGTGTCACAGAATCACGGAATCATTTAGGATGGAAAAGACCTTTAAGATCATCGAGTCCAACCAGACTTTTTGGAAAGCTCATTTCCAGCTGCGAGGGCCACGCATTTGAAAATCCAGCCAGAAGCACCCCAAACTCTGCCCCATGAGATCTTCTCCCCTGCCTTGCTCTCCCGCTGCGAGGCGGGAGTGCGACCTCCCTCCGTCCCCACGCCAGGACAAACGGACGGCACGTCCGCCACGCTGACGGGAAACACCACGAGGATCTAGACAGACGTGGAAGAGGGAATTTCTGTCATGACAACCCAGGGAGCTCAGTGTACCTGTTCTCCACAAGAGGAAGACACCGAGCACTTACTACCCCCCCTCCTGCGTGTACCTGCTCAACCTCCGACCAGTGCCAGAGGGGACAGGGAATTGAGAGGATCATTTGAGGGCTGGAGATCCCAGTGAAACGCAACGAGGCAGAAAAGTAACCCCGAGAGAGCTCCCCGGGCAGCGACGGTGGCTGCCGAACCAGCGCAAAGAGAGCCTACACAGGGACACCAGCGTCTCGTAGTTGCCCTCCATCACGGTCCTGTACAGCTCCTTCTGCCCATCGTCCAGGCTTGCCCACTCCTGCCTGCTGAAGTGCACCGCGACGTCCTCGAAAGTCACCGGCACCTGGGAGCACAGGGGCTGGGCTGCAGGAGGGGGCAGCTCCCCCCCCCCAAACAGCTCCCAGCCCCTCAGACATCGCCCCCAGCCCTTCAACAGCCCAAAAAGCAGCTCCCCAGAAGCCCCCATAAGGAGCTCCACATGCTGACTCCCAGCCCCCCCACACCGCCACACCCGCCGCA